AGGTTGTAGCTTCTGTCTTGGGCCTTGACTTACACTCTTCCTCATGCTCACCCCCTCAGAAGAAAGCCATGACATAAGCTTTCCTGTTGGAAGGCCCACAAGATGAGAAAAAACCAACAAGGACTTGAAGCCCTCAGTCTAACAACCCTTGAGGAACTGAGTCCTGCCAACAGCCATGTGCATGGGTTTGGAAGTGGACTGACCCCACAGTGGGCCTCGAGGTGACCGCAGTCTTAGCCACATCTTAAACGCAGCCTGTGGAAGAGCCAGAAAGCCCAGCATGGCCGAGCTCCAATCCTGAAGCTGCCAAGTTGGGGGGTAATTTGTGATGTGGCAATAGATAACATATACATCCAGAAATGAACCAAACACAAAGATAAGGGGAGAAGAGAGCATGGTCTTCCATGTCTACTGTGGACCATGTACATCATCCCCACTTAATCTTGACATCCATCCTCCGAGGTGGGTGATATGCTGGTTCCATTCTCCAGACAGGGCAATTGAGGATAAGAAGGGAAAATATTTTGCTCAAGGTCACATAGGTTGCAAAAACGTATGACGTATGGCCACACCTGTGTTTTTATTTCCATCTCCCATGGTGTCCCAGGAATCACGGTGACCAGCCCTCACGGTTGCTGTCATCTTGTTTGGGTTGGGCACAAAGAAGAAGAACAAATTGTTCAAAATCAAGTATCTTCTTGCTTTCTTAAAATCGAACGCATCTTTCAGAAATTCTATCTCTTGCAGAATGGCGTAAATCACCCAAAAATAAAAAATGTGCAGGGCCTTGTTTCTGGTGTTCCTTAGTTAAAGACAAAGCTACAGAGTCATTACGAAATTGGAGGCATGACCAAGTCAAGTCAAACAAACCTCCAAAGACACAGAGAGTTCTTAGGTCCTTGGGCTCCGAGGCCACTGGTATCATCGTGTAACAAAACAAAATGACCGGGGCGCGTTACCTCTGTCTCTGTCTCAGTCTCCTAGCCTACAAAGTGGAATAATAATAGCGCCTACCTCATAAACTCCTTATGAAGACGAATAAGGGAGTGCTCGGCCCATTGTGAACATTATAAGCTAATTAATGAAATGAGGCAGGAACTCCATTCCTCACCATCCAACTCTAGTTTGGAGAGCAGTGAATGTGGGAAACAGAACCTGGGTCTGATTCTCAGGCCCACTTCTGAGTTCCCACAGCGTGGCTCCTGATGATGGAGCCAGAGGACTGCTTGGCGCTGCTGCCCCACGACGGGACACAGGGCGCTGGGGAGCCCAAGCTGAGCTCCTTCGAGACCAGGTCTCCCTGGAGCTTCCGTGGAGGCAGCAGGAGGGTGGAGGAGGGAGGCATCTCTGCATATTTCAACACAGACCACCTGGTGCAAGAGAAAAAGTCCTTTTCATGGATGCGAAGTGGAGAGGAAAGAGAGACTGTGGGCAGCGGGTGGGCAGTAGACAGGGGGTCTGCCAGAGAGAGATGGAAACTTGCAGAATCAGCTGTTGGAGTGTAGCTTTCATGAAGAACGTTCTAGAAGGCAGACACAAGGAGATTTAAATCAAGTTCAAAAAGTTAGATCTCAGCCCCTTAGTTAAAGCTCTCCACTCTTGTCCACGGACGAGCACCCCTACAGGTCCTGTGATTTCAACTCCAACCAGGCCTTCCTATCTAGGGCTTCCATGGGTCCTGTGTCTGCTGGGACTGAGGTCAGAGGGCTGCCTGCAGGGTCTGTTCTCCCGCCATGCTGGGGGTGGGGGTGGGGGTGGGGGGGGGCTCATGCCCCAGGAAGGAGGCCCCTGATGCCTAGAGGTTCTGTGTTCCAGAAGGGTGCCCACTGCCTGCACTGTTCCCTCCGTGGAGAAAGCAAGAAAGCTGACTTGAACAGGGAGAAGAAACATTTTCTGTGTGGGTGTCAGCTGGGAACGCCAGCCTCCCAGCACTTGGGAACATTGGCTGATCCTCCCACAGGGAGAGAAGCAGCCATTGTTCTCAGTTCATCGCCAGGCAACCCCGACGAGGTCCCTGGGGTCATGGGTTACACAGCCCAGCCGCGTCCTGGTCCTCACAGGGCCTGGCTCATGGCGTGCCCGGCCCTGTCTGCTGACAGTCGTGCTCCAGGCTCACTGCCTGCCGGCTCAGGGCCACAGCCCGCTCTGGAAGTGGGAGAATGATGGGGGAGCAAAAAGCATGAAGGAAGTGAGGGGTGAAGCAGGTGAGTATCTGTCTGAAGGGTGTTCTAGTCTTCCTCATAGAATTTGGAAGGTAGCGATGAAAACACCAGCAGACGAGAAACAATACAGAAATATTCGTGGCAGGTGTATACAGATCGGCGGAGTGAGGGACTGAACTCTGCCCAGAAGCATGGCGGGCGAGGCAAGACCCTTCCAGGTAGGAACAGGGCGTGAGCCAACCCGCGTTCCTTCCTGGGCAGGAGCAGCGCGTGTCCGAGGGGGCGGGGGGGGGGGGCGTGTGGTGGTCAGTGTCGAGCAGCGGACACCCCAGGAGGAAGCAAAACACCCCGACGAGGGGAATTTGCTAATTCCCATTAGTAAATCGTGCTGCTCTGGCTGCCTTCAGGCTCCCAGGGAGACACCCAACGCAGAGCAGAAGAAAGGAAAGGAAGGATTCCAAGCGCCATGCGGGTCGTCCATGGGAGGCCCGAGAGCGAAGACGTCAAGGGCAGAGTAGAACTCTCCGCGCCGCCACGCACCGACCACCGAGCTCTTCGGCGCCTGCGCAGACGACCAACTGCTTCCGGGCCCCAGTCCCTTCATCGGCCGCCAGAGGGGACTAAGCTTTGGAGAGACCCCCCACCCCACCCCCACACACCCCATTTTATTTATTTATTTATTTGAGAGAGAGAGAGAGAGAGAGAGTGAGCACAAGCAGGGGCAGGAGCAGAGGGAGAGGGAAGCAGGCTCCATGCTGTGCAAGGAGCCTTACGTGGGACTTGATTCCATGACCCCGAGATCATGACTGAGCTGAAACCAAGAGTCGCTTAGCAAGGCTGAACCACCCAGGCGCCCCTGAACTCTTCCTTTTAACAGCCTCCTGCATTTTTCTTTTCTCTGTTAAGGTTGCTCAGACACCCCGTCAGGGTGAGTTCTCCATATCCAGGGAGTCACGTTGAGCCCCAACAGAGCAGGCAGCACGTGGGGCGTCCCTGTCTTGGGCGTCGCAGCTCAGCTGAGTGTGAAAGGCCCACCCAGGCCACTCGGCTGCTGCTTCCGAAGGCGGGAGAGTCCTGCTGGGAGGGGAGCGGGGGGGGGGGGGGGGGGGGGGCTCCAGGGCCACGGGTCTACCTGACTCTCTCCTCCAGGAGCTTCCTGCGGCCATCGGCGCGGCTGCCACCAGAAACAGGGAGTGTTCCCGCTTAGTGGAACCCGGTTACCTCAGCCCTGCTGGTTACCTCAGCCCTGCCGGGAAGCCAGCAAACCCCTGAGGGGAATCCCAACCCCCTCTCCTACTTTTGCTTTCCCACACTTGGAGATAAACAGATGGATCCATACACGATGGGTAGATCTCTACCGATATGGTTTTGTGCATGTTTATATTAGCCTTTACCAAGAACGGTGTGCTTTTTTTTTTTTTAAGATTTATTGATTTGAGAGAGATGATTTATTTATTTGAGAGATTTATAAGATTTACATATTTGATTTATAAGAGAGAGATATATATATTTGAGATATATATATTTATTTGAGAGATTTATAAGATTTATTTATTTGAGAGAGACTTGCCTGCCCATGTATACGCAGGCAAGTGCGGTGGAGGGGCAGAAGGAGAGGGAGAGCCTCCTACAAGGGATTGGATCCCACGACCCTGAGATCACGGCTAGAGTGGAAATCCAGAGTCGCTTAAGGGACTGCAACCCCGGGTGCCCCAGAACAATGTCCTTTCTTCTTCGACACCTCGTTTGATTCGTTCTCAAAACTCCGGGAGGTGCTGCTCCATTTCACAGATAACAAGTCTCATCCTCAGGGACGGCAGGTGACTTACCCTTGGTCAGACCCTCAGTAAATGGTCCAGCTGGAACATCAACCGAAGTAATTCAGCTCCAGATTCCCCTGCCTTTCTAGAAGGTCTCCCTGCACATCCGCTGTGTGTAGACCGATTTGTGTGTGTGCACAAGCACCAACCACTCTGTGTAGACTTGTTATATAGACAAAACCTGACCTTGACTGAAGAAAAAAAGAGCGATTGGGAGACAGGGTGGGGAAATGGGTAGAGTGTGTTTTCCGACTCCCTTGAGGAGCGCAGCAAATGGCAGGAAACCCAGGAAACTGCCTTCCCGCCTTCATGCATGGTCTTTTACTCCCTCGCCACAGGCTAGGATTTGGGGGATCTTTTCCTATTACGATATACTACCATAACTCTCACTAAAGAAGTGGTGTTGAAAGTTAAACAACCTTATCTGTGTTGTTCTTTTGAGCTTCAAATAGTCCATACATGTGATCTTTTTTCATTCTCATAGTCACTTAAGCTAAATATTCCCTCCATTTTACAGATGAAGAAACTGAGGCTCAAAATGACTAACTTGGCTAAGGCCATATTATTTCTAAGGCAAAGAACCTGAGTCCCTTCTGAGAGTGACTGGTTGTGGTTCACGTTCCACGACCCCAGCAGAACAGGAGGACACTTACCATTGCGCCGAAAATCAGGGTTCATGGCTCTAGAATTGTTTCATGTACCCACCAATAGGGAACGGGTTACAGAACCAGGATGCATCAACACAGTGCAATTGAGTAGGACAGTATACAGAAGGCTCCTCATTTACACATCTGGAAAGTTCTCCAAGATAATTGTCGTGGAAAAGAACAAGTGCAGAATAGTGTCTACAGCCTACCGTCTTTTGCTAGTGAAGGCGGGGGCTCGACTCCCATCTGTATGGACTAACAGTGCGCAGATGCTTAAGAAAAGGAATTATTAGCCAGTGGAGTCATCCAGCAGATGACTGGATTCTCGATATATACCTTGTGATGTTGGTTTGTTTGAACCCTCTGAATGTATTACTTATTCAAGACATGAGACACATTTTGTACTAAAGAGAGCTTCCCTTCAATAATGTTTTCTCCCCCTTTATTCTCCTTATCCCTAAGGCACACATGTACACACAAAGAAATAGACGCAGAGTAGGTTTCCAATAGGAAAACTTTTGCAGGTGCAGAATCGATCAATGATGTCAGGACGCTGGCATCTGTCCATTTATTTCAGAGAACTGATGAGTTTGTCAGACACTCTGGACCCAGACAGCTTTGCAGGGAGAAGCTTTTGAAATCTAAGGAAAGAGTAGAAACCAAAGTAAGTGTAGTTAGGAACTTCTTTCTCAGCCACCCTCAACACGTGCAGAAAAACTTACAGCCTCATTTCTAGTATCAGCCCTTCTCAGTTCCTCACAGAGAGACTCCCCAGGGTCAGAGGACCCAGGCTCCCAGGGAAGATGCTGTCATTTTGTTCTTGAGTTTGGGTTGTGGCAAATAAAAACATAAGATACTTCGTTAAGTCTGAATTTCAGATAATTTGCAATTTTTGGTTCAGTATAGTATGTTTCATGCAATAATTTGGAGCATATTTAGTTGAAAACGGTTATTTGTTGCTTATCTGACATTCAAATTTAACTGATCACCCTATATTTTATTACTTTATTTTTAAAGAAGAGTTTATGTATTTTAGAGAGCAAGCAAGTGGGGACGGGGCAGCGGGCAAGGGAGAGGCAAAGAATTTCTGCACTGAGCGCTGACCTGCGATCACGACCTGAGCCAGAACCAGGAGTCGACACTCAACTGACTGAGCCACCCAGGCACTCCGGGCATCCTGTATTTTATCTGGCGACCCTATATCGTCAGGTGCCACCCAGAGGACGTTGATAAAGTGCTCTTGAACACGCTAGCCCTGAAGGACAAGGAGTACCTAGCTCAGGCCTCCTGATAGAACTTTCTGGTACAACAGAAGTGTTCTGTATCTTTGTTACCCAAACAGTCACCCTTGACAACTTGAAATGTACTTTGTGCAACTGAGGCCTGAATTTTTCACTTAATTATTTTATTTAAATTTAAACTGTCACCTGTGGCTCCTGGCTACTGTATTGGACAGAGCAGCTTTAGAACCAGTCGTGCGTCTCCCTCCAAACCGGACTTGAAGACGAGCACTGGCTAACGTGGCACGTAACCCAGGAGTCAGCCCTCAAGTCCCTGCAGCTTAGTGATCGGTGCATTTCTGTGCAGATATAAGTTTTGTTGTCAACACATTCGTTCTGAGTATTTACTGAAGTTCTGTTACACGGGGAGGAGATGGGGCTGGGGTATAGAGACGAAGACGGTAGAATTCTTCAACAAACACCCTGGAGATGAGCGTGTTCCCTGGGTAATCCCGGCATTAGAATGTAAAAACCATTGAGCTGGCCTTCTGTGCAGAGCAGACAGTGTGAGCGGATAAAAAACATTGATTTTGTCACACCCACCAGCTGTGAGAGTCTTTTCTTTCCTTGATGCTAAGCAAGCATTTGGTAACCACAGACCTGGTAGCGTATTAAAGAGGGCTCTTATGCATGATATCAGCCAGCAGAGAACAGGCCCTTAAAAGAATTAAGGGCTTCCTGAGGGTTATCATGAGATATCAAGTCTGGAGAGGTGAGTGCACTGAGCTGGGAAAAGGTAAAGTGGGAAGGCAAGGGGCTGCACTTCCCCATTTCCCTGCACACCTGGTGGCTTCAGAGGCAGGCAAGCGAGGTCCGGACAATGGTCAGTGGTGGACATCTTTCCACGGAAGTTCAGCTGACCGTGTGCGGGGCTCAGAGAAGGCTTTCCGAGCTGCAGCATCCATTCCCTGTTCATGTGGCAGAGTTGAGTGGCCACCTTTGTTGGATGCTGGGAAGTCAGAGTGAGTAGTCAGACCGGGTCCCCCCTACCTCATGGAGCAAAGGTATAAGGGGAGAGGCACATGACAAGGGATCCAATCAATAAAATCTTGGGCTGTATTTTAAAGGATCTAAATAAGGAGATTGATAGTGATCTGAGGTGAGAAATGAACGGAAGAAGGTTACTTTTTAATTTTCCTTCTTATATTTTAAATTACACACTTAATATATGCTCTTTTTAACGCTTTGCATTCAGGTGTTTCTAAAGGTTAACCATCTCTCCTCATATAACCTTACATCTTGGGGTTTTTCTTTCTAGATGGCAAATACCCTTTTTCTCCAAGTGTCTAATTTTTTTTTTCCTGTTTGGTTTACTCCTTTATTTATCTAGTACTAATTTGTCATATGAAAGGCCAAGTGTTTAATAATACCTTTAAGTAGATATTGCCAGGAGAATTTTTCAAAAGCTTATAAGCAAGTGGCAAAACTTCCTTATCCTTAGTAGTCCCGTGTATTACTAGTTTTGGTCTTGTGTTTTAATACTTTTGTTAATGTGATATACAAAACTGAACTACGAGAAAGGTTAACTATTTTTTTCCCTCATATGTATCGACCATTTGAATTCAGCAAAAGATACAAAATACCCTGTTTAGTCATTTTTGTCTATTATATTGTGTCTTAAATTTCCTATTGGCCTATGCGGTTTATGTCCTTTCTTATAAGGTTGTGCGTTTCCTGCCTTGCTGGATAACAATACCTCCCCCTCAAAACACACCCGCGCATAACTGAGGTTAAAGTGTTTCCTGAAATTTCATCTAATGTCTGGGTTTTGTATTCAGATCTGTAATCTGTCTGGGTAGCTCCATTTCAGATGGGCCTGTCTGAAGAACTGAGGCCTGAAAGGGGAGAAGGAGCTTGCCAGAAGACACATCAGAGAACAGGTTATTTCAGAGAAAAAGAGCCAATGAAAGCGTCTTGAAGCTTCAAAGAGCTTGGCAGGAGGAAAAGAGACCAGTGTGGCTGGAACGGAGAGATGGAGGTGAAATCCGGGAGGTGGTGGGCAGAGGCCAGAGGTGGTCACGGTAGGTCATGGTAGAGAAGTGTGGAGGATGCATCAAGGCATATGTTGGGGTGCAGGTGACATGACCTACAGATAGTTCGGATTTGTAGAGCTAAAGGGAAGGGAGCAAGGCTCACTCTTAAAATTTTGGCTGGAGTGAATGGATTTAAGGCTGTGACACTTCCTGAGTTGGAAGGACAGTAGGAAATAATAAGCTTAAGGTTCACAGGGTCAGTTCCTGTATCTTAGACATCCTCTGGGTGAGATGAGAGTTCCAAGTGAAGGCGTTAAGGAGAAGTGTGTATACACATGTATACCCACGCATCTGCATGTCAGCGGAGAGATCCGGGCTGGAGATGTAAACGTGGAAGTTTACCAGCTAGCTTTTGAAACTGCACTCTTGCTGAGATCATCAAAATAATAGGAACTGGTACCAAGCTCCAAGGTTCTCAAATTTAGAGCACGTGATTGTCCAACCTCGTTGAGATCAATCGTTAAAGCAAAGAGAACTTGTCGCGGAGTCAAGTCTAGCCCAGTCCTTCCGGCTGTGGCTATCGGCAAAGGTAGGAGGGCACGGACTTCCTCACCTGCCTGATGTCCCTGATGATGAGGAATGTGCTCAAGGTTGAAGCTTCAACTGGCAGACAAACAAGACATTAGCACACTTGCTTCTTTCACAAGGAGCCCCAATTCTAGTGATGTGCATTAGTTCTAAGCCCAAGGGATGCTGGTTCCATTGCCCTGCCCAGGGCGACGGAACGAACAGCTGCGATGGAATGCAGTCTAATGAAATTCTGGTATTTTTAAAGAGGGCTAGGCTACACCATCCATGCCTGCAACGTCACTTTGTTTTCAAGTTTGCATGTCATTGTCTATATATATGGCCTAATTCTCGATTTCAGTATGCATGGCGAATCCTCAGTTAAATTCCTAACATCGTCTAATAATACACATGCATTATATTTAAGAGGAATATTTACATTTATAATTATAACTTAGGATCAAAAGATGACAAACCCTTAGATGGTAATGTAATTGACTTGAGAATACACACAATTTTTTAGAACTAATTATAAAATATCTCATCCTCATAAAAAAAGAGTTCCAATGATACATTAAAAACTGGTAAGAGACTGGATGGTGGACAGAGGAAAGGAAGACTGCATAGATGATTTCAAAATATAGAAAGAGATATTCTAATTGGTGATATTGTGTTATTACTGATCTGCTTTGTTGGGAATGCCCTACATAACCAAATAATGATTCCGTCTTAGCCTCACGCCTCAGTAAATCCCTGAGATCAACTTCTGTCCCTGGTGTCCAGCTGCTATCAGTAATTGGAAGGCCAGGGTTTACCATTCTCATGAGCTCATCCCAGCTGAAATGGTCCTCCCCGGGACCCTTGAGGCATGGTGGATTGAGACCTGTTCAACGTCTGGAAACCAACTGAAGCTACTGAGAATTTATTGCTCACTGGAGAATTTTCCAAAGATGTAACTAGGGCTTTTGGATATAAACAGTGATGTTTCAAAGTAGAAGGAAAAGAGGCATATTGGAGAGGGAGAGCTAGGAGGGATCTGTGAGGAATGTCCTCTGGAAAGCCTTTTGGCAGGAGCTCTTAGGTAAGAGCTGGTCAGTTGGCACCTTCGGTGTTTCTTTGATGCTCTCCAAACAAGACACCCCGTAAATTAGATTTTCAGAAGGGATTTTCTACTGGAAAGAGATGTTATTAGCAACCTGTTAGTCTGGTGTCTAATTAACGTCTCTTCTGCTAATAAACCAACCTTCTAGAACAAAGTGCTTCCTGATGGCCCAGCCACAGACTCAGCTCAACATTTACACAAGGCCCCATTTCCAAGTGTTTACCATAAGGTGGGGTCTGTGCTGACTATTAACAATTTAACGAGATGGGGTCTTTGACTTTAAGGAGGTCTTGCTGAAGATGGAACAAGCAAAACTAACACAATGTATTATTATTCACCAATCAAATACAAAGTTTTGTTATTAGCATGCAGAGGGGAGAATTCAAAGTCCAATCTCTAACTCCTTCTTCATTCACCACAGGAAATAAGTTTACTAAGTCAGGTAGCTCATTACCAAACCATCTCCTGATTTGTCCCCTTGTTTCGAAAGTGTACATACTTTCCCCCTGGGTCTACCGTGCTAACACTGGGCCAAGATTCACCTTCCTTCCTCCCTTGATGTCAATTCCAAGGAGAAACCTCTCCTCCTTCCCTTAAATTTCTCAGTTTAGGATGCTTGGTAACATTCTGGTATGTGGATAAAGTTAATCCATTATGTCTCCAGTTTTTACTGGTTTCATTGTTCTGACAATAATCTCTTAGGGAGTGGTGTTCAACGGTCAAAGTACTGGCTTCCTGGCCTTGGGACTTAGACAAATTGTTTAGGCTCTGTTTCCTCCTCTTTAAAATCAAGATAGGGATAACACTTATCGCTGGACCGCTGGGTTTAATGAATTTTCTAGAAGCATGTAATGCTTAGTAAGTGTTAGCCATTACCCCTGAGTGCCCGTGCTCTAGTTTCAGAACCCACACTGCTGAGCCTACGCATTTCATCATGAGGTGAGCAAAGGCGAACACAGAGTAATGGAAGCAGGGGGAGGCTGACCACCAAGCCCAAGGTCACACGCCTAGTCAGTACTGGAGCGGGGTCCAAAGCAAGCTGGAAGTTAATGAGGAGGATTGCTAGGCCCATATAAAGCAATTGGACCTAAGGATCCAAGTTCTCCAGCATACCAGAAATTCTGGGTGGGAAGATCCCCGTCCCCTGAGCGGACCTCTCCGGAACGCTGTCAGGCCGGACCTCCCCGAGTGAAGATTCTCAGTCCTAACCATTAGAATCGTTAGCAGCTCCTCTGGAAATTCTACCATGTGCTTATCAAGGTGATTACTTCTTTTCCCGCCACTTTGCCTTCACCAAACTCCCAGACACTAGCCACCACCCCCCACCCCCGCAGGTGACAGCTAGGCCAAGGGAGGGGAAGCGGCGCTGGGGGAAGCGGGAGCGGGTGGAGGGGCCGGGGGGCGGGGAGAGGGTGGAGGCTGCCTCTGGACCACTCCTCGAGCGTCAACATTAGGGAAGTGGGAGGCGCGTCCGCGGGAAGCGGCTTCCGTTTAGATGACCTCCCCAGTGCACACGTTCTCTTTTGAATGCTCCAGGCGAACGATCCCGGAAAATGCTTCAGTGGGAGCTCAGGGAGCTTTTGGGGAAAGAGGTGGTTCTTACTTGGGTCGCCCGAGTACCAGCGCGCAGAGGCGTGGGCAAACCATGGCCCACTCATTCTCCAAAGCGTAAACCGAGTCATCCTGAAGAAACACTTGGGTGAGACTTGACCCTAGAAAATAAGATCGTAGGAATTTTTCCACGGTCCCAGATTGCCACTTCTGGGGCTGGAGCAGCTAAGTTGCCAGACCTTTAGTAGCAACAGCTTTGGGGAGGCCCGTGGCCATAGTTCTTTGTTTTGTGTTGCTTGTTTTTGGTTGCTTTAGGTATCTAGGCATTTGAGGCTCTTGAAATGTATTAATTCCAGCTCGTTGAAGGTCAGGCAGTAATCTAGGTTAAGGGCTTTTAAGTGGCTTAATTGGCACAAAAATCTAAGGGTGACACCATCAATCTACCTCCAATTTATGGATGACAAAATTAGAAAGTAGCCCCAAATACAATTAATTTGTAAACGGGAAAAAGCTGCAATTCGAATCTGAATTCAGTCAGCCCCTTATATCACCGCAGGGAAATCCATTTTCCAGAGGCCCCTTTTCATGCCTAAATTTCAGGTGATACTTTGAAAACTAAGGGAACGGAGCCGAGCTCCTTTACGGAATTAGTCTAGACCGGTTGCTTGCCACTTAAGAGGAGGCATCTAAGATGGTTTGGCCAGGAAGGTTCCCGTGTTACTCAGTTAAGTTTGCCTTCAGTAACATCCGAGTTAAGTCTGCCAAGACAAAATTCAAATACGGTAGACTTCTGCAGTTAAGTTATTTTAAGTTGGGGCTTACTCGACCTGCCGGTTTTGCATGGCTTAGTTAGGAGAGTCACTAAACGCATGCAATTGTTAGATCTTAATCAATTTGCAGTTTCCCATTAATGACTGAAACCTACACCCTAAGCCTCTTCTCAAAAGCCTTGAAACCTCGATATCCTTTCAGAAAAAGTTGACTTACCTTTGCCTATTTCCCCCTTAGTCTAAAGTAGTGTGAGCTCTTTCTTTGAACTGGTGGGGGGCTCTGAAAAGAGCCTTTGGGTTTGAAAACGCTTCCGGAAACTAAGATGCTTTGTCCGTTCACTTGCCCTTGGCCTTGTGGTGGCTCTCGGTCTTCTTGGGCAGCAGCACGGCCTGGATGTTGGGCAGCACGCCGCCCTGCGCGATGGTGACGCGGCCCAGCAGCTTGTTGAGCTCCTCGTCGTTGCGGATGGCCAGCTGCAGGTGGCGCGGGATGATGCGCGTCTTCTTGTTGTCGCGCGCCGCGTTGCCCGCCAGCTCCAGGATCTCGGCCGTCAGGTACTCGAGCACGGCCGCCAGGTACACGGGCGCGCCGGCCCCGACCCGCTCGGCGTAGTTGCCCTTGCGGAGCAGGCGGTGCACGCGGCCGACTGGAAACTGCAGGCCAGCGCGAGAGGAGCGGGACTTCGCCTTGGCCCGAGCTTTGCCTCCTTGCTTGCCACGTCCCGACATTGCAGGCACAGAAAAGCAATGCCAAAACAATACAACAAATCGCTTGCCAAGGCCGACTTAGCAGTGATGAAAGTAGGAACACCGCTGCTTTTATAGGCATTTCCTGGGGAGTAAGTCCGGTTGTCTGATTGGCTGGTAAAAAGACTCAGTCAAGTAGCCAATAGAAAAGCTTTATTTCCATACCTCATTTGCATAGTTCTGCCCATGGATGACAGCCTCGCTGCTTGTCTTCCAATGAACTAGGACGCTGTCTGCATCCCTCATTAGCATAAAAGCCCTATAAGTAGCACAGATTCGCTTCCTACTTTCACTTCACTTCGGGCGTTCTGACGTTTTAAAATGCCTGAACCAGCCAAGTCCGCTCCGGCCCCGAAGAAGGGTTCCAAGAAGGCGGTGACCAAGGCGCAGAAGAAGGACGGCAAGAAGCGCAAACGCAGCCGCAAGGAGAGCTACTCGGTGTACGTGTACAAGGTGCTGAAGCAGGTGCACCCCGACACGGGCATCTCGTCCAAGGCCATGGGCATCATGAACTCGTTCGTCAACGACATCTTCGAGCGCATCGCGGGCGAGGCGTCCCGCCTGGCGCACTACAACAAGCGCTCGACCATCACGTCCAGGGAGATCCAGACGGCCGTGCGCCTGCTGCTGCCCGGGGAGCTGGCCAAGCACGCCGTGTCCGAGGGCACCAAGGCCGTCACCAAGTACACCAGCTCCAAGTGAACTTGCCAAGTAAGCGTCCTGTCGTCATCCAACCCCAAAGGCTCTTTTCAGAGCCACCCACATTTCCACTAAGAGCGCTGTAATCCAACACAGAATTGTGCATGATTGGCTTGGGACAAAGTATTCTACCTTATTTAGAAAATCATTGCCCGAGAAGGAATTACTAGTCTCTCTTAAGGGTGTTAAGACAATACGAAGCGGAAGTTAATATCCTATTATTTCATGCTCTCGGGGGCCATCTTAGTGAAAACCCATGCTGTTCTGAGTCTCCATTCTCAAATTCTGCCATAATTGGTCTGATTCATTTGAGCACAGAAATTTATGATCTTTAAAGGTGGCTTATGTTAAACAGTCAGGATCGACCCATGGCTTTATTAGACCTCTGCTCAAAGTTGCTGGCTAACTTGCTTGTTTCCAAGGGCGGCTGAACTTAAGGTAGGTAAAGTACTAGCGGCGGAGATCCGAGGTTGAGTGGATAGGAAAGACGCTTTTGAACCTGGCATACTCAAAATCTCCCACTAGAGAACTTTAATTTAGCAAATAGCGCAGCCTGGGAAGTTACAGTTTAATCCCTTTACTCATGAGCTTTGCTCCAAGCAAAGATTTTTAGGTGAAAGAAGCAGTCTTCTCCATTTGTCTTATCCAGGTTCTGGAACACATTTCAGTACTTAGCGGTGAAGTTTGCTTTTTCCATTAAAAACATGGGAAAACACAGGGAATAAATTCTGTTACAAAAGAACACAGACTTGTACAATTTTAGATGAAACATGATATAGATTACCAAGTTACTTAACATAAGGGCCTCATGATCTTATACCTGCGGTTTTAATTAACATTTGGGAAGAATATTAAAGGCCTGCCTGGCCTTAGACCAGCTTGCATTGGAGCACAGCTCTGGTTGCCTAACTTGGAAGCGTTTTGACATAGTTAAGGTAGAAATGCAAAAACAGGACAGTTCCAGATGTTAGTCACACTAGCTCCTCAGCCAAACTAAGTCTTCCAGAGTCCTTCAACAACTGAAATTGGATTTTTTTTTTTTTTTTTAATTTCTATGTGTCTAGTGAACCTGCTGAAGGACTGATGGTCCAATTCAGACTGCCAACTACCGGCTACCCCAAAAATGTGCAGGTTCACTATTACTCAGGCTGATTACAAGGTCTTTGGTTTGTTTTTGTTTTTATTTTTGTTTTCCTTCTTCCCTTTGTCTCATATAAATTCTGATTTGCCTGTGTTGGATGGAGTAATCCTGTAGCTTGTTCCCCTTTCTATACAAGTGAAGGGCAGGCTAATCATTAACAACTTGATCATTTATTTATAAAGTTTCACCAAGACATTGTTTACCTAAGTCCTGCCAAGGAATCAATAGAAATGTGTGACCTGAAGAAGTTTCTTGTCCAGCCCTGGGCAGTGTGAGTTTTATGCTTATCTGCCTTCTGCTCCTGCGTGCTGAAATGTGTTCTTGCCTAAATTTGTTTCTTATTTTGGCTTTTATTCTGAGTGCACTCTGTCGATCGGTTACACATTAGTGGTTTTATGTCAGATCATGAAATGATTATTGGTGGCAGAGGACAGGCAGTCTGAACTCTAGGGCACTTGTTAATCTTTTCTGGGTTGTTTGTGTTTGTCTGGGGATTCTGATATTCTCTGGCGTTTCAAAGCATATAAACCGGAAGTTGGTAATTTTCTTTCTGGCCTTTAATGTGATCCATTGGGTTTGGTGTTTTGTGTTTGCGTGCTGTGGATTCCCAAAATTAAAGATGAGTCTCTTTCCTCCTTTCAAAGTGGTCTTTTCTTGTGTTTACACATTATGTATCCAAATAGTTGTCAGCATCTGCAAAAACAGGATTCCTGCCTCAAAGATAATACAAGTAAAAAAGGACAAACTGTAATAACTTTGACTTTGAGTGGTTAGGCCTTACAGGAGACTAATGACAAGAAAGAAAACCAGTTAACCAAATTTCCAGCTTGCAGAAGCCTGTCCCTTGCTCTGCAGAAGCCTCTAAAGTGAATGATCTAATAATTCCAAGCAATTGTCCCTTCAGGTTTTCTAAGTAAGATTAGAGAGAAGAGAGAAGAAACATGGTATTATAAATCAGATTACTGAGTCAGATAAAAAGAGAAGGCTTCCAGTACTCTTATAAAACAGACATTAATAGTTACTAAATCTTAATGTGTTGTAAGAGCTAGGGCACTGGAAAGTAAGTAGAATTTCCTACAACACTTAGAAGGGTATCAGAGAATTTACTCATATTCTCAACAATGGTGTTTGCTGAGAGATCTCTGGTCTTAATTACATTTGTTTCTTTTTTTTTCCTTTTAAAGATTTTTATTTATTTATTTGAGAGAGAGATCGTGAAAGAGAGAGCATGAGTAGGAGGGAGGGCAGAGGGAGAAGCAGATGGCCCGCTGAGCAAGAAGCACAAGCACTATGTAGAACTCGATCCCAGGATCCTGGGATTATGACCCAAGCTGAAGGCAGACGCTTAACCAACTGAGCTACCTGGGAGTCCAGTTACATTTTTTCTTAATTCTTCTTCTTCTTCTTCTTTTTTTTTTTCTCTTAACTGATCAACAAATCTGTGGTCCTGGTTTTGTTGTAGGAAAGATGTTATGGTTTGAAGCTGACAGCCAAGAGATAATTCTTAAAACATCTTTGGTGCAAAAAGGGGATTTTATTAAAGCACAGGGACAGGACCCGTGGGCAGAAAGAGCAGCAATGGGGTCATGAGGAGTGGTTCATTATATACTTTCAAGTTGGGAGGGGGTTAGGAGTAGCGTAAGTCTCTAAGGAATTTTGGAAGCAAGTTTTCCAGGACCTCAAAGGGGCTCGCTATTGCTAGGAAAAGGTCATTTATTAGTGTCTAATAGGACCTGAGTCATGAGACCCTTCAGAAGTATATCAGTGGGTCATCAGCTCGGGGGATGATTGCCAACATGTACATTGGGGGGTAGATATAAAGGAAGTTTCCAAAAGAATTTTCACATGTTAACATAAGCTTACAGGGTCCTGGGTGTCCAGCTAGGATAGCCTTTTGCCCTTAGCAAAGTGTCAACATTGAGGCAGCTGAGTCCCTAGATAAATGTCACTCTGCCTGCTTTAAGGACCTGTCAATGGGCTGTAGAAAGTAAAGCAATTTAATAATTTTTCTTCTGCCTTTGTTTCCCACATCAGTTTTACCTCCTTTAGATTTTATTCCGGTTTCACAATTAGCTCCTCTAACTTGCACAATGATTGAGAATATTTTGTTTTATGAATACAAACAATTTTGAGCAAGTTGTCCACTCTACCTCATCAGGAAATTAATAACTTATAAGGCAAACTTAAATTTTAAATGGCTTATATAAAGACTAAAAAACACAACTTAAAGCAAAAGAAACCAGGAGCTAGAGAGTATCAAGCTAAGCGATATAGGTCAGTCAGGGAAAGACAATTATCACAAGATTTCACCCATATGTGAAATTTAAGAAACAAAACAAAGAATCATAGGTGAAAAACAGAGAGGAAAACCTCTTAACTCTAGAGAACAAACAGATGGTTACCAGAGGGGAGGTAGGCAGGGGACTAGGTTAAATAGGTGATGGGGATTAAGGAGGGCATGGGCTGTGATGAGCACTCGGTGATGTAGGGAAGTGTTGAGTCACTATATTACATACCTGAAACTAATATAACACGTATGTTAATTAACTGGAATTTAAATAAAAGCTAAAAGAAAAGAAATAGAACCTCAAATCAAAATAAAACTTCACTTGATGCTTTAAATGTGTTTCCTCTTTAAATTGTAACTCAGAGAAAACAGGAAAGTTTAACTGTGAATTTAATTAGTGGTTTTAGTTAACAGGTTATAGGCTTAGAAACAAAAGAGAACGTCTCTATTATTTTTGAACAACTTAAATTTTTTAGTTCATGATATGTAGTTTTTTTTTTTTTTTTAAGATTTTATTTATTTATTGGACAGACAGAGACCACAAGTAGGCAGAGAGGCAGGCAGAGAAAGAGAGAGGGAAGCAGGCTCCCTGCGGGCTCGATCCCAGGACACCGAGATCATGACTTGAGCCGAAGGCAGAGGCTTAACCCACTGGGCCACCCAGGCACCCCATATGTAGTTTCTTTTTTTTTTTTAAGGTTTTTAAAATTTATTTCAAACAGAGAGAGGTCACAAGTAAGCAGAGAAGCAAGCAGAGAGAGGGGGGGAGGCAGGCTCCCCACTGAGCAGAGAGCCAGATGCGGGGCTCTGTCCCAGGACCCTGAGGTCATGACCTGAGCTGAAGGCAGAGGCTTA